ATATTGAGTGCGCTTCGAAAAGTTATCGAACTTGTTGAATGATAATAAGATACTATTGTTTCATCCTCATTAGGAATCAGCAGTTATATTTAATGAATCCATCAAAAAACGATAACCCTCAAAACTCCCTCAGGTCCTATCTCCGAATGAGGAGAACATTAGTTCGTGAACTAATCACGTGAGCTCCCTCTATCAAATAAAAGACGCATACACTCTTTCTAGCATTCTAGATTCCCCCTCCTGCCAACATTAATGAGAGTACGCAGAAGCTTTTGGTACTTCAAGTTATTACTTAAAAGTGCTATTAACACACAGAACTTTTTTTGGTTTTTGACAACATACTTACAAAAAAAATGTAACTAACTACTAACACTATTATAGTATTGAATTATTGTAATATTGAAATTATACTATTGGTTGAAGTTGATGAAAGCGGAGAATACCACAAGTTAATTAATTTTGCCTTTCTGACTTTTATAACCAGACTTGCAGAAAATAATCACTTAAAGTATCAATTTATCAAGTCTTTCATTGAAAATTAAAACTAAATGAGGTGATTTTTGGATGAAATATTTTATAGAAATCTTCCTAGCAAGAGTTTTCAAATGATGTTTTCGAAATTGTTTCTCTTTTAATATTAATCTCAGAAAACAGTTCTTAAATTTCATTTCGAGAAAAAGTCTATAGTTTTTTTATGTTAAACATATAATAATTAATAGAGCAATTTGACTATTGCTACCGTTTATATAAATTTCAACATGATATATCTAAGTTCATAAATATTGAAATTTTCTGTCTGATTATTCGTAATTATTTATTAAATAATGAATTATTAAAGAGATGCTGAATAAGTTTACAAAATTACATATAATTAAAGCCTCAAGAGCACGCTCGTTGAATTACTTTTTTGAAAAATTCAGATTGTACGGTAGATATAAAACTAAAATCATACATTAATTAGAAATGTAGAAAGTGTTGTTTAAAACCAACATTATTCAATAAAAATGAAACCTCTATCCAATAGTCTAAAACAATGTTTCCCAACGTAGGGCCCAGGCCCCACAGCGGGGCAATTTGATTGTCGGAGGGGGCAATTCGACAATGGACTGGATAGTAAGTAAACCCTTTCGCACTTCTTAATTTGAAAATTTTCACCCTTTTCGATGGCATGAGAATTTTAAAGAGCATAAGTGTGGCATAGCACAGTCAGGGAAATGCTGGTCTAGAATTAAAAAGTACGAATAGTTCAGAGTAGACAAAAAAAAGTTTAATAATTGATGAGGCCGATACTTGATGTAAATCGATAAACATAATAAAACAATTGCATGACGTACGTTTCGAAGAGATTAACCTTTTGCAAATGCTACGTGCAGACTAATGACAATTTCTCGAATACATACAATATATAAACTTAAATTATGAATACAGAGAAAACAGGTAGATAACAGGTAGAAGGGATCAATTCATGCTGAACTACTATATAGAAAACTGAGTAATTTTGAAAAGATTGAGAAGGGGGCTTGAGGTATGATCGATTTGGCTGTTCAAAAGGTTGCCAGAATATTTGTATTTATTAATTTGAAGTGATTCTAACAACTACAGCTTCATTCCCTTGTTTGTGGTATTCAAAATTTCAAAATCGGAATTGAATATATGATTTTCATTAATCAAATGATTTGCATAATGAGAATCTGTCTTCTGATTATCAAAGCTACGTTTATGTTCCGAAATTCTCATTTGAAAACTTCTAAACGTTCTACCAATATAAAACTTATCACAACTACCACAGTTAATTTTATATACACCTGATTTTTTATTTTTGTTGACCTTAGATTTGTTATTTCACAAATAACAAATCTAACAATAACAAATGAAGTAACATATCTAAGGTCAACAAAAATTTCAAAAATCAGGTGTATATAAAATCAACTGTGGTAGTTGTGATAAGTTTTATATTGGTAGAACGATTAGAAGTTTTCAAATAAGAATTTCGGAACATAAACGTAGCTTTGATAATCAGAAGACAGATTCTCATTATGCAAATCATTTGATTAATGAAAATCATATATTTAATTCCGATTTTGAAATTTTGGATACCGCAAACAAGAGAATGAAGCTTAATTTGTTAGAATCACTTCAAATTAATAAATACAAATATTCTGGCAACCTTTTGAACAGCCAAATTGATCATACCTCAAGCCCCCTTCTCAATCTTTTCAAAATTACTTAGTTTACTATATAGTAGTTCAGCATGAATTGATCCCTTCTACTTGTTATCTACCTGTTTTCTCTGTATTCATAATTTAAGTTTATATATTGTATGTATTCGATAAATTGTCATTAGTCTGCACGTAGCATTTGAAAAAGGTGAATCTCATCGAAACGTACGTCATGCAGTATTATTTTTAATATATGTGTAAATCAGTTTAACAATTGTTTTATTATAAAAAAAAGTTTGACGCCTCACATCCTATCTTCTAACAAACATTAATGAGTGTTGATGAGATCGAACAATATCTCCTATTCAAAGATTGTAAACATATGCAATAATTGTTTTACAACTACTATTGTTTCTTTAGAATAAAGGCAGTTAGAAGGCATGACGAATTTGTTCAGATGAATCAGTAACATCAAGTATATATTTTAATTACATTCATATCTTCAAACATCCACACTATGAATCAATCAATCGTTTTTTCGTGAAGTTTAATTTCAACTTCAAACGTTCGATTGTATTATATAAAATTTTGGATGCAATGAATTTTCAAGTTTTCATTTGAATATTTTTAAATCAGAATTCAAACAAGAATATAATACTTCTCTCTTATAACTGAATACCAAACAATGCGAAGTTTCTTCTGAAATATTTCGTAATAAAACTCTGTTTTCTCTTTATGAAATTACATCTTACAGCAGCTCTCGCTGATTGTTCGTCGTTCTTTATTTCCTTTCATTTGTTAAAAATTTCGCAACCACAGATGAAAAGCATGAGTATTCAAATAACTGAAATTGAATATGAATTTGACTTTAAAAAAAAGATTCCGTTGAAATTCAAATGAATGGAAAGAAACAACAGTGCATCTTCAAATAATTCAAACGAACTCATATGGTTGGACGCTGTTTTTGCCATAAAACAAGTAAATTGAAAAACTAATTCTCTTCATTATAAAATTGTGTTGCAAAAGTTATGTCTTCATGGAAATTTCTCTCGAAAGTCAAATAATTCACGATAATCAGAAGCGAGGCTTGCAAATAAGAAATAATCGTAAAAATTGATTCAGAAGATGGCAAACACTGAACAAATCCAACTAGAATGAATTGCCTCACTTATATTCAGATAGGGGCTGTTTTGGACCATCGCCAAAATTGAGATATTAGGCATTGTAGTATCAAGTTTATCTGATTGAAAATCTCAATTTATTATTTTAAATGGGACAATCATTTGAAATTCCGGATATAAATTTCAATAACAGAAAAAGCTAGAACGGGCAATTCTCATGTATTCGTCCAATAAATCATCATCGGTTATGAGATGAAAAACCTTACAGTTAGTTTCCAAATCATGGCTCAAAAAAAACCTGCTTTAACGATTATATCTAGTACCTAAAGAAATCCAGAAATTATTTCCAGAAGTTAACGAAGTTGTTCTGCTTATCATCAGGAAACACAAAGGAAGAATATATTTTCTTTATCAAGTCTTGAAAGTACATATTACAATAAAATAGAAGATGTTACCTATTGATGACATTAGTAATTATTGATATTCAGCTTATATAGCATCATTGTCGCATTCAGATGGCAGTAAAAATGTTATCTTCGGTTCTAAACACAAAACAAGAGAACTTACGAGATATAAATCTTGAATCTACTTTTGATATCTGCTTTGAGCGAAGTGTAGTATAGTGTTTTTAATGCGTGTTTTCATAAACTAAATTATAGTTTTCCCCTCAATTTCCTTTCAAATTGAATGAATTATTTAGTTGTTGATACAACAATGAATGGTTTTAGTTTTAACCTCCTTCTGGAGTTACTGGAATCATTTGATAGTTCGAAACTTCTAGCTCATACATTTCTTTCATATTATGAGACGCCTCAAGAACGGTCAATATTTATTCATCGAAATTTTTATATATATATATATATTTATTTATATATATAAATATATATATATATATATATATATATATATATATATATATATATAGAAATGAAATTTTTCGTGCTAATGCACGTACGAATAAATATTTAAGAAAATGAAACTAGAACATTCATTTGAAAATTTGAAATTAATCAAGAGAATGTTATACCAGAGCTAGATATGTGAACGTGTACGATGTGATGTCTCCATTATCCTTCACGGGATAAATGTTAGAGAAATATTGAAATCGATGCCACACCTGATGGAAGTGCGAGACATATATATTTCGTTCTGCAAGAACTCGTCAGTCGCACCACGTCCATCAAGTGAGGCAACGATTTCAACCTCCACATCTTCTTGTGACTTCAAGAAAGATCGTAGAGTAATGAATACTCTACAATTCCATCTATAGAAATCAGAAGAAAACACCTCTCTCAGATCACAGACACACCAAGCATCCTTAATATTAGATATAAGCATCCTTGCAGAACGAAACATATATGTCTCGCACTTCCATCAGGTGTGGCATCGATTCTAATATTTCTCTAACATTTATCCCTTGAAGGATAATGGAGACATCACATCGTACACGTTCACATATCTAGCTCTACTATAACATTCTCTTGATTAATTTCAATTTTTCAAATGAACATTCTAGTGTTCATTTTCCTATATATATATATATATATATATATATATATATATATATATATATATATATATATATATATATATATATATATATATATATATATATATATAAATAAATTATTCGCGCTAACCATGCATGTACGGACATATTGTATATGAAAGATATTTATATGTAAATTATATGAAATCGAAATTACACCACAAAAGTTTGAACCTCGACTGGGATACGAACCCAGGTCTCTCAGGTCTTCAAGGTTTATGCCCTGTTGCTCTACCAACTAAGCTACGGAGGTCTACAGTTCGCGATGCCATTCCGACTATATCTAATTACTCTTTTGTTCGCAAGCCAGTCATCGACGCACGGGTTGTCGTCTTTCAAACTGCACGAACGTGAGTAAACACCTTCCGAAGATTTTTTTTTTGAATTTTTTCGTTATGAGCATTCAAATTTACATATAAATATTTTTCATATACAATATGAATATGATTCTTCAGGTCTATGCCCCAACGGGTTCCTTAACTGACGATGAGGTCGAGATGTTCTACGTTTCTGAAAGCGGCGGCGGCGGGCATACTTCAAAATGGTTATAGGCGACTTCAATGCTCAAATTGGAGAAAAACAACCCGGAGAGCGGTCGGTTGGAGGTTTCGAAATGACATGCGTAATGATCGAGAAGGCGAATTTGCGGAGGCTTGTTCATGGTTCAGAAGAAGCCATCCCGGAAATGGAACATTCAGCCCCGTCTTCTGAACAGTAGACAGGGCCTTCGCGATTGTGGTGTGCTGAACCAGTTTGACGCAGGAAGCGATCACCGCATGGTAAAATGTGCAGAAATGCTTTAATGTCAAGCTGGAGAGGAAAAAGCTCTTTAAGTGCCGGAGAAACGAGTTAGAATCGGAAACCTGAGATCGAAATCCGACGAATTCGACAGGGAAATCTCTAACCAGCTGTCTCTCGGACCGACAAAGACAGAAGATACGCTGCTAAACGCTAATAAATCAGCGGCTCTCAAGGAAACGAGAGTACTCCAAGATAAACGCAGAAAAATGAGAGATTCACTGAGAACTAGAAGCCAATGGAACGAATATGCGTCACTGAGTGCATTTGTAAAAGAAAAGTCAAAGGGGCTGTGCGGAAATACAACACAAGAACAGTGAGGCAGGCTATTAAAGATGCAAGAAGCTGTAAGAAAGCTATCCCGAAGAACATGATTTGGAAACATCAGATAATCGCGCTCAAAAATTCAAACTGTAACAGAATTACGAAAAAATTCGAAATTCTGAAAGTCGCCAATGAGTTCTACAAACAAAGATAACCGTAATCATGTTGAGATAATATCGGATTAAGAGCCAGCGAAAGTTCTGGCATCAGAAACGAGAACTAGTGGACGTTATCATGTCAGGGAGCCAGTACTTCACCGCAATCAATCCAGGCTCTTCAGTGACTGTTTGAAAAACAGAAACATTTCCACCTCGTGGAACAACGCGTCTATGGTTCTACTCTATAAGAAAGAGGATGCGGGGGACCTGAGGAACTAGAGACCGATAAGTTTACTCTCCACAGCATATAAGATCTTAATGAAGATAATTACTAACCGCTTATCGGGACAACTGGACTATTTATTGGCTATAAGAAGGCGTTTGACCTGCTTAGAACTCTAGCTGCAACCACCTCATTACTGAGGATAGGAATACCATCTTGCTATACCGAGCTGATCCAGAATATATACGAACATGACACAGCAACCATCAAAATAGACAAATACTCGGAAACATTACCAATAAGGAGAGGTGTCAGACAGGACGTTTTCCCCAAAGCTGTTCTCAGCTGCTTTGGAGTGTATGCTTCAGGAGCTGGAGTGGGGCGAAAAAGGAATCAAGACAAACGGCCGCTACCTTAGCCAATTATGGCATTATGCCAATTTATGCAATTTTTGTAAATTATGAAAAGGTAATGAAAAATATATTTGTACATCGGTTCAATAAAAATCTAATGAATTAAGAAAACGTGGATGAAAATGAAAATATTCAATCGTCAATCTGTTTGATTGAACCAAGAAGCCCTAAATTTTCATTACCACAAATTAAGTAATCGGAATTGTGGTTTTTCCCAACTATACTTTTTCGCCAATAACACAATCATTTCATAAAATAATTATACAAACTTTTCTATTCAAATTTCATGAAGGATTTCATAGGATTCGAAAGAATATCTGAATTCTAAATTTCTTATATCACTTGAAATAAAGTTAATCATTACATTTATATTTAAAAAAACTTCTGACACATCTACGATGCATAGACAAACGCTAAGGTTCAATTGAAACTTTATTCAAAAAAGTTATTCCGTTTAGATGAATGACCAGATTATTTCGTGTTTCGATAAAAATAATCATCAAATAAAATTATATATTCAAAAGGGAATATCTTTCATTATTCGTTCAATATGTAATACTCTCATAGCGCTATCTGCAACAATTTTGTCAACGAAAACACAAATTTTCAGGATTCAAGGGTGTATTACACGATAATTTAGTTCTGATAATATAATAAGCTCGTATAAATAACAATAAACACGTGTCAACGGCTGCTTCCAATTGCGGGATATGCTGACAATTCAATTTTGTTTAAATTTCCCCTGTATCAAACATTATTCATATCTATTGGCTTTTCATTAAAAGCAATGCAACTTTTATATTAAAAATTGTTGTTTTCCAAACGATAATTTTTTCAATTCCATTTTCATTCAATAACATCCGATTGAATAGCTATTTAAATTTTTTTCAGGAATTTCATAGAATTCGGAAAAACATCAGTTTTGTCTTCATTGACCAACACGTGAAATATCATGCAAAAATATATGTCACATGGATTTATGAATATTTTCAATCGAAAAAATACATTTCCGTTTATATGAACAAGAACCCGTCATTCTTTTTTCAAAGAAATTTAAATATATGCCATTCATTCATAATTCAAAGAAAGCGCAGACGATAATACAGTTTTCGAGACCTCGAATTGGTACGCTTTTGAAAAATAAATGATGTGAATACAGCGGAGGAGAGAGAATAGCTACTATTCGGCTTTGTTTGAATACAGCTCTCATATCTCAAAAAGATTCAGCTTAGTGCGAATACAAAAATCAAATGAGGTTGAATACATTCATTTTTATTTGTTACATTATTAAACACCTCAAGATACTATTTACTTTAAGAATATCAGAAATTAATCAACTTTCTATCGCTACTAAGATCGAACGTATCTATTTTTACTATCTGACTACTTATTGCATATCATTTTTTACCAACTTATGCAATTACAATTATTTATTTATTTTTTATTTATGCAGTTTCTTTCTCTTTGATATTAATTCAAGTTTTTTCTTTGATATTAATTAAAGTCACACTTTTTGAGCGTGGAGACCAATAAGGAAACAAATTTTTGTCTTCTATTGAATAAATGAGAAGTTAATATCATTTAAAATATTTTTATTATCTTACAATACATGTAGGTTATTCAGGAATTTTTATCATTGAAACTATAGGTTTATAGTTACTGAAAAAGAAACATAAGTTTGAGACTTGATACCCTCCAAATATCTGGAAATACCGCGCCAATGAGGATCGCAAAAAAAATTCAATTTTTCCGAAAGAAAAGTTGTCAAACACTCTGCTTTTTTATCAGCGAAATTGATGTTGAAATTGGCAGCCAAGAAAAGTGGAAATTTATAACCATTTCTACCAAGTATTTTCGACCCTTCTTCAGTGTACTCCTGTAAAGTGCGATGAATAAAATTCTCTACCTATCCCAATTTTGGATTCGGAGAAATGTAAATTGCTACCATGACTATTTGTAGGTCATTTCTAAGTTTGCATAAGTACGCACAAATATCTCCAACAAATGTTTGGACAACAAATGTTGAGCGAACGCTCGGCCGAGCTACATGGAGGGGGCGGGGTGTTAGGTTTTATTTTCGTTACGGAATTTCTTGATTCAGTCGCTGCGCTCAAAGCCTGCGATAAAAGCTACGCAATAGCTTTAAAAAAACAATAAGTTCATACGGAGTTGGAATAAATAAAATAACATATCAAAAAAGCATTGAAAGTTACATATTTCCGAGTGATCTATAATCAGAAGGGATAATTTTAGCGGACGAAAGGTTTAGGTTACGAAATCATTCTTAAATGAAATTAATATTTTCTCAATCACAGACAGACACCAAAGATTGTTACAACAACTTTCATCATATTCAGATTTGCATAATATCTAAATATGATCATCTATACGAATATATCTCAATCAGCTTTGCTCTAGAATATAAACTATCAGTTTTTCATTGAATTTACTAACAAAAACAAGAAATGAACAACTTAACTTGAAGAAGTATATAGTAATTCATAACATGTTTGGTTACAGATATGGGAAAGATAACCCACATTTTAACTAGAGAGAACATTTTTCACTCTGTTATTGTAAAATTATAAAATATACTTTTATGTTATGGCGATCTTTGAGTTTTTCCTTGCTAAGTACATAATTTAAATTTAAAAAAAAAACAGGGTTTTTAGACATCCGAATTCATTGGCATACAGTTCAAAGTATTTATCATTCAATTATTGCGCCGTATTTTGAATTATGTTCGACAATAATTTTGTTTAATACTCATCAAAGTAGTCTACAGGAGCTACAGAGTGTTCAAAATAATGCTATGCAATATATTTTAGGTTGCGATAGATTCTAACCTGTTGTGAATATGTTGAACAAATTTTGAAAATGTTTCAAATCTTGTATCAGTTAAACAATTATGCACAAAACTTAAATTCACATTTAAAATCAAGTTTAAGCCTGTCCCCTTATACTTGTATTGCATATAAATTCAGTGCTCAATCTTAACACAAGGAACCTGAATAATTTTCCGTAGATTTATGCAACAGAAAAGGAACTACGAAGTTTATTGCATAGGGGTTTAATAATGTAGGTATACATAATGCAGCACCAAACCAAATCAAAAATTGTTAGAAATGAAAATTATTCGAAAAAATGCGTGAAAATAAATTATGTAAAATATAACATTTATTATGATATATTGCAATGAATATATGAACAATAGTTATAAATGAATATATTGACGAATTAGTATCTATAGTATATTGACGAATTAGTAAATTGATATCATAATAATGTATAAATAGCAATTGATACATTAAGATGAAGAAGAATATGAGAAAAGATTCTGAACTAACATTTTTTTTTGTTCTGAAATTATAGAGTTCGCTATTCTTTCTTGTATTTA